TTTTTTTTTTCTTTTTAACCAAAGTCTCAAATTAAGGCTAAAAAAGGAGGTAATTTAATCCAATCAGAGGTGTCAGTGCCATTCAGTGAAAAAAATAATTGAAAATATGTAGCTCCAACAAATAGTGATTAAATTGAACTGAACTTAGTCATAAAGGGCAACTAAAATGCAGGTGTTCATTATACTGCAAGGCAGAAGAACAGTAGCAATGAACAAAACAATGAATTCCAGACAGTGCATGATGGCCAAGAATCCTGTGTGATAGCAACACTCACTGGTCAGCAAATATTTTTCAGTTTGAGTGTTGAGGAATTCTAAGACTTAACCATGGAGAGTGAATAGGGAACGGAGATGCAATGGCGCCATGGCAGAGGGCACCCGGTGTCATGGAAGCCAAAAGAAGACAATATTGATAGTTGTCAATAGTATCAGAGTCTGCTGAAGTCAAGATAAGGTGAAGATGGGAAGAGGCATATGGAATTTCTGATCTTCAGGTTACTGGTCTCCTGACACTGGTTGTAGGGGTGGCAGCAGAGAAACATGTTGTACCCAAGCAGGTTGAGGGATGAGTGGGGGGAGCAAAGGAAAGAAGGATAGAGAGTACAGATGACTAGTAACTATGTCTGAAAGACATTATAAAACTGGAAAAGATTAGAAGAAGAAATACTGAAAAATAGGATGAGCATACCACTATAAAAGTTACTAATGTGCAGAGACATATTTTCAATGCAGGATGAAAATAAGAAAAGAAAGCAGATACAATATGGTCCTTGACCCAAAGTTCTATAAACTTTCAAATAAAAATTCTTTGAATGTCTAACCTTCAGGTGTCATATTATCAAATGACAAAAGCCTTTATGCCCTTTTAAAAAGGAAAACATGTTAGAGGATTATCCAGTGATTTAGTCACACAGAGTTCTTACCAAGAAAAAGGCAAGTTACACATTGCAAATAAGTAAGCAGGTATTAATAATTTCCTTGTGTCCAAGAGACAGAAAAAGCACCATATGCTTAAAGTTTCTAGGAGAGTACAAAATAATCTGCTTGCTCAGGGAACTTTTGGTTTGTTTTCTTTCTTAAAAAAGGAAAAGGGTGAAATTGGATCTTCAGAAGTCCAGGGATATTTTTAGACCTGAGAAAAGACTGAGTTGGGGTTGGTGAGGGAAGGGGACACTGGGTGAAAATCAACAATTAAGCTTGACTACTGAAGTTCAAGCATTGCCAAAGACACAAAGAAAGCATGCTTGGAAGGGAGGAATTTCTGTGATTACTGTTCCAAAGATATCTATGCTTAGAGTACATCTGATGTATTCAATGTGTTGAATGTGTCAATTGTACTTGAGAACATGCAAATCTTTGCGTTGGTGAATATTGCAATATTAAAAGGGTGTATTACAGAAAAACTACTCTTACCAAAGGGATAAACTTTTTTCTTTGAAAACCGAAGCAACAAATACAAAATAAAGCATGGAAAATATGCTTCGAAATTTGCTAGATTATACTTAGCAAGCCACCTTTTCTCTGTTTAGGAACAATTTCACTCATTCCAAAACACAATATGTTAATTAAAGAATCTCAGGTAGCAATAATGGAATACTTCTCATGACAGATGAAGATGAATACAGATATTCTGAAGGCCAAAATTATATAAACAAAACGAAGAGACATTTGGTCCATTTTCTCTTTGTAGTGCAAAGTTAGAGTGAACGCAGATGAATATGCTGGCTGTACAATTACGCTATTAACCATCTGAAGATTGGGCTCATTACCTAAGAAGGCAAAGCATCAATTTGTAGCGTTATAACATTCTGTTTGTGCTGCTGAACACGTGTTTGGATGTGTTTATGTATTCTCTACTCGTTTGTGTGCATAGCAAGCAAGTCAGCATCAGCTTCTTGATGGAAGCTTAATTTTGTATTGTTTTCATTATATTGTTTTCTCTAATGGGGAGGATATTCTGTCTTAAAAATAAGCACTCCATTTATTCTCCAAATAATTTTGGGTTCAGATTCTTTCGTTTCTCATTATCAAATGGCATGTATAAGATTACAGATATATCTTAAAATTGAGGTATTCTGATTTAAAACAATTCAAATGTTATATGAGGAACATATTCATTCATTCAATCAGTCTTTCTTCCATTCTTTTAATGTCCATGTATTGGGCTAAGCACGATGGAATATTCAAGGATGTTGAACCGTCTCTGCCTTCAGGATGCTTATGACATAGAAGTGGCAGAATATTGTTAGTACCTTCAGAAAGGAACAAGCGCAGGGCCATAAAATCTTACAAGAAAGAGATCAGTGTATTCCCTCATTCCACAAATATTTCTTGACTGTCTACTATGTGCCAGGCACTGTTCTAGGGGCTGCGTATATAGACAGGAACAAGACAGTCAAGGTCCCTGTGGACCTTGCTTCCTGTGGGTGAGATGGAAAATAATGAAGCAAAGAAGCAAATAAATAATATAACCTCAGGTAGCCATAGTGCTATGAAAAAAAATAATAATAAAGCAAGACAATAGCAAGGACAGTGACAGCAGGAGAGGGGTGTGAATTTTAGCTCACAAAGGCCTCTGAGAAGAGGTGACATCTGAGTAGAGTCTTGATAATATGTAAGAGCAAATGTATGACAATCTCAAGGAAAGGCTTCCCAGGCAGAGGGACCAACAAGAAAAGGTCTTGAGGCAAAAATGAGCTTGTCATGTTGTGGAACAAAAAGAAAGCCATACACTACACTAGAGTGTAGGAGAGGGCAAGAATAAGAGATGAGGTCATAGGGGTGGGAAGGGGTCAGGTCCTATTGACTTTTGTAGGACAAGATAAAGATTTTATTCTAAGCAAGAAGGAAATTCATTGGAGAGTTTAAGCAGGGTGTGGCATGGGCTGATTTAAATCTTAGAAGGATCATTCTAGATGTATGGAAATTCAACTGTAGAGGGGTAAGAAGATAACATGGACAGAGATTAGACATCTATGAATAGTTCAGGGTAGAGAGGACCAATGAGATATCGATTCAAGTAGTCTAACTGAGGATGACAGATTAGAATCCATCATGGTAGTGTAGCTAGCGGTGCTTGGTTTAGACTATGTTGATAATTATCGAGGTGGTGAGAGAAGTGGTCCCATTCTGGGGGAAGTTGCACAAAGGAAGTTATATGATACTATTTGAGTTGAACTTTAAACGATGGGTGGCATGAGACAAGAGAAGGGTGTCATTCATTGATTTATTGAGCATCTTTCTACTTTTATGGACCATACACTGTGTTACATGCTGGAGATATAGCAATACTGAAGCCCTTGCTAAAAGTAAGAAGAAAACTAGTTGAAGAAGTAATATTTTAAGTATAGATACAACAGTAGGGAGGCACACAATATGCTTATAGGATTTACTTCTAGAATTAGTACTAAAGATGTTTTATTGTTTTCCATTTCATGCAGAAAATTATATTATTGAACTTTGTATACTTGACTTTCCTTGAATTTGAAAAAGTGCTAAGTTTCTATCAGGAGAAACTCAGTTCAGCATCAGGTGACAAATTTCATCAGACAACTTCCTTAGAAACAGTGGTTAATATTTATTTTTCCCATTCTTGGAAGGAGAAATTATAGCTTATATAGAAGGGAAAAGAGAAAAAGAGAGTACAAAACATAGAACAAGCTCATAGATCTAGGTGCATCTATTTCAGTTCATCTGCTACCCTGACTACAATCTTGCCCCACAAATCTTTTCCCAGATGGATGACCCAACTTCAACCTTCCTTCCTTCTAAATCCTATTGTACACTGTCTCCAAAATTAACCAGCCTACAGAAGTCCAGTCATGTCCATTCCCCAGTGCCTGCAGAATAAATTTCAAATTCTTCAGCCAGACACACACTAACCCAATCTACTTTTTATGCTTTAACTCAGACTGTACTCTACACTCTCCAATTTTTTAATCAAATTGGATTTTCTTCCTCTTCTTTTAAAATTGTTTTATTGAACTGTGATGAAATACATATAACATAAAATTTACCATCTTAACCATTTTTAAGCGTACAGTTCAGTGGCATTAGCATATTCACATCATTGTGCAAATCCCACTGGACTTTAAATCACTAGTTATATTTCTCTCATGCTTCCAGCAATTTGTTGTCTGAACCCTACCCATATTTATATGGTTCCTTCTGGCCTCCTGAAATTCCTTTCCCTTTCCTTACCAATTACAATCCTATATATCTTGAAGGACTAGTGCTCAGATCCCACCTCTTCCTTTAGGCTCCTTTGAAACCTTATCTGGAAACAGAAGGTCAACTCTGTTGCTAGGTAACACACTGCTTACAGTAAAAATGATGCCTGGTCGGTAAATTGCATCTGCACTGGGAGGATCTATATATGAACTATAAATATATGATGAGGATGTGATACCTTACACTTCTCCGAGTGATGACTCTTGTAATTAGTCAGGTCCCTTGTAGGGACCCTGGAGGCTAAGTCTACAGAGTTGTTACAAGAGATACTGCCTCTTATGCAGCAGGAGGCGTTTAAGCTAAGGCCATTCCTGCGCCCACCCACTATGAATCTAGTCTTCTTGAACCTGAGCTGTCACCTGCAGGGCTGGGACTGATAGCTGTACCAATATTGACTCCCAATAAAGAGAAAATCTGAAGCTTCCCTGCTGGCCAGCAGTGTTTCCTGTATGACATCCTTCTAGGTCAATCTAAAGCCAAATGTGGCCCACAGTAATCTTGTGAGTCTGACTATGCAGGTGGAACTGAGAAGACCTGTGCTTGTGGGTTGCATCAGTATGCAGAAATACTGTACTAAATACTAATAGCCTTTGCATGCCCCGACTTAAAAATCCCTGGGAATCATACAGAGGGGTAGGATAATAAAAGCATAGCTTACCTTTGGAAGGAGCTGGATTGCCTGGAGTATTCTTTGTCTGTGCCCGGAATTAAGGATTCCAATTTCCAACAAATCCTGATCTTCCATAACATTGCTTCCCTGAAACAAAGCCAGAAGTGTTATAAGTTAAATAATGCATTTAGACTGTGAATAAATAACAGGGGATTTATTTAACACAGAGAAAAATAACCAATAAGTGATCTGATTGTCATAAACAAAGACACAGAGGCATTCTTCCACGAGGGTGAGGACAGAGCAGGTCACCTTGCCACTGATGTGAAGGCGAGGTGAAAGCTTCCCTCCCCTCCCAGAGAGCTCTCCTGGCCTACTATTTACGGTTGGATTATCTGCGTGGGTGACTCATTCCTGTGACTTAAAACTCTGTCCCTGTAAAAATATGAATGCTTCTAGGAAGAGTTGCCATTTAGGATTATAAGCGACCTATACACTGATGTGAATTAATTATTTCTTTTTTCTCCTGGAAAACTGATTTTGTGAGAAGGGCTGAGAGAAAACATTGAAGCATATCTGGCAGGTTAAAAGTGAGAATTAATCATTAATTTTAAGATGTGGAATGCCAGCCACCTGATCAAGATGTGGAGACAACACAGCAAGGCACAAGAGGCAGGCCTCTGCCTACAGCCATTCTTATTCCTTCCAGGCCAGTGGTGGAAACGAATTGTTCAAAGGCAGTTAGGGTGCTGTGACTGTGCTACAATGGTGACACCTGCTATGGAGTCCAGAGAGGATCCAGGATGTGTTTTCAGAGGAAAAGATGTCCAATCAGACATCCGAAGGGTGGCCAGGACTTACCACCCAAAAGAGGAAAGACCAAGGCTGGAGTATGTAGATATTGTATGCGATACTGGGGGCTTTAGACTTCCTCCTGTTCATAACAGGAAGCTGTGGATAGGTTTTAAGAAAAAGAGTTACATGGTGAGATTCCAAATTGAAAAAGTTCATCTTGGTTTCTGTGGCTGGCCCTCAGATTCCTTGCTTATAAAATGATAAAGTTGAGCCACACAATGTCCCAGGACCAGTTCAGTCCCTAAGTTATCAGGTTTCAATGATTATTCTAAACGTCTAATAATGGAATAGAGGACTTAATAGACTATGCTTTTTGTCTCTAAATTTTAATCTTTCAGAGTTTGCAAGCTAAGAGTCTTTAGCTTTAATTTGAAGCGTCTACAGAAGTTCAGGAATTCAGATCACTATTTTTTTGAATGAATCAAACTCTGTTGCTTTAATGTGTAACACAAAGACACTTATGAATAGAAATGGCAGAATACCTATTTATGGAGAGTGATGGGTACTGTTGGACATTCTAAGGAAAAGAGAATAAATTGGAAAGGGCAATCCTAGAGGCTGGTGACCCTTAGGAGGCAACTGTGGTTGTTCTAGAAACAATGTGGGCATAGACTAAGGGGGTGGTTATGGGAGGCAGAAAGAAGTGCCTAGATTTGAAAACTATCAACCAGTCTGACTTGGAGATTGAACCTGTGGAATGATGAAGAAATGTAGAATACATGCTGGTTCCAAGCCCGGGCAGTGGGTGGCTTTCGATGCCTTTTCCTACAATAATGAGGTAGGAGGGGGAGGCCTAGCATGGTACAAAGTGAGACTAATGTCTTTCCCTGGACAAGAATAGAATAGATGGATGTAAACAATTTAATATCAGACTACATTATAAATAGATAATTGACTGCTTTTAGAAGGATTAAAGTCATTAGAACGGTACCAGAGCTAGGGATTTAAAATGGGCATTCACTGGACAAAAGCATTCCACCTACTCAAAGTGTCATTCCCATGCTTAAGCTACACCGGCCATCTCGGAGGAAGCAGAACGATCCAGGTATACAGCAGTGTGATAATGAAAAGCCTAATGAAAAACAAATAAAGCCAGTCTTGGCAATATGCCATGGGAAACATTGCTCTCAAGAAATTACTCAGTGCACACAATAGAGCATGGCTAAGAATATAAATGACTTCATTTTGAGAAAGTGTTATTATTTCCAGAAATGAACTAGTGTGGCATGAGCAGGATATGTGATACCATTCTGACTTGTACTCTTTGAAGGGTTTTCCAAAGGAGTTACCTGGCCCATGAAAACATCTTTGGCCGTCTATGTGTTAAGAGCATTAACAGGTTTTCCACGTGCTAAATTACCAGACACAATCTCAGCTAATGCAAAACATAGGACCTGGTTTCTTTGCACAAACAGAAAACATACCAGGATTCAATAGTCCGTAGTAGCTACATCTATAGGTAATCCTGAAAACTTGATTTCAGTGGTTGAATACTGAAATGATCTGGACATTAAGTAAATCCTTAAAGATGCCTGTCCTTTGTCTATACTACTATTTTCTCTATCTTCAGTAAGGGAGGAGGATTTTTGAAGAACTGTAGGGAAGAAGGTGTGAAGTACATAACAACACTTTCTCTTTGGGTCAAATTTCCTAGCATAAAGGATAATTACTAAACACTTTTGAAAAATGAGTAAAAATTATGGGAAGCATAATGAAAATTTTGAGAATGTGCCAAAGAAGAAATGGTACTAACTGGGAAATATTAAGAAAAGAATTCATGTCTCAATGAGGCACGCTGTTAGAAAATTTCTATCTTTTTTTTAACAATATATACAGGGACACCAAAAATATCCTGGTACATCATTCAGCCAGTCTTTTGTCTAAACAGCAGGGAACTTGGAGACTAAAGGCCTGAATTTGGATCATGGCTGGGTAAACTTGGCTAAGTCATATATTCTTTTTAGACTTCATTGTCTTTATCATAAAATGAAGCAGTTTAATGAATATGCATTCAGTTTGAAAATGCTATGATTTCAGTTATTTTTGACTTTGATTAGTGTCATTACATATAATGCAGATTGCATATTTTGAAACTAAATTTTAGTGTTTCAGAATTGGTAGCCTAAAGTTACCTTTAAGAAGTTATTATAGAGAAGTTTAAGAATGCATTTTTTTGACAAATAAATATTGGTACTATGAACTTATGAAATTTCTTATTAAAGAAATATATTTCTATATAAGAAATATATAGAATATATTATTTTACAGTATTATAGATTCTTATAGCTTTTCAGAGAAAAATAAAATGCTTCAATCCGTACAAGTGCCTGACCATTTTTTTTTTTTTTTTTGCATGTGAGTAACAGTTGTGCTTTCAAGGACAATAAACATTTCCATTTTTCCTAGGGAGCTGGAATTTATTCTGATTTTATCATTTGTCTTTACTAAATGTTAGAGCATCTCAGCTTAACTCCTTTTTTCCTTCAGTAAAAGCTGACCACATCCTCTAGCTTTCTTCCTCCTCTAACCATTTTTTACACAACTGCCAGATCAACAGTTTTTGGAACCCACACTCCATCATGTCCACCTTCTGTTTAATCATCTACTATGCCACATGACCTCCCTACCTCCCCAGTACACTTGTGGTCCTGTTTCTTCTTCTCCCATTTACTCCTCAACCCACCAGAATAAGCTTTCCCCCCTTCATCGACTCCATAGAACTTCTCTGCCGAATGTTAAGAATGACCTCCCAACTGCCAAATCTAGTTATGATTCTTTTCAATCTTGATTTCAAACATTCACTGGCCATGTGTGGGGGATGGCTGCCATATTGGGCAACACAGATACAGAACATTTCTATCATTGTAGAAAGTTCTATGAGACAATGCTGGTGTAGAGTTATAGACCCTGAAACTCTAGTGGAATCACATAGATGGGACAAAAATGGCACAGTAACAGGGAATCAAAAGAGGGAATCAAAAATACTCATGAGTCATTCTCGGGGTATAATTTTTCATGTGCCTGTTAGTCAAAGTCCATGAACATTAAATTTAGGATTTTTAACAAATTATTTTCTAATTTTTCAGTCACCTGAACAAATTAGAAGCTTGTTCTACTTTCACTAGTATTTTTTTTTATTATGGAGCTAGAAGTCTATGTTATGAAAATGACAAGTCCAATCGATAAATTATTTATTATTTTCTTAGCATCCTGTAGGCACACTGCATATGGTGTTGAGGGAGTAATAATCAATAGATAAAGTTGTTTAGTTAATGACTTTCTAGAACGAGAAAAAGCCCAAGGCAGTATTTTTAGATCAGCTGTTCTTTTCCTGACAGGCAATGTCTAGGGGGTCTTCATTGCTTTCTTAAATAATGGAATGAAGAAAAATCACCTAATATTTTATGCACCAATAGCTGAAAGCTGAAGTTTTTCTGGCCATGAGGAGAATATCTTATGTATTAGATTTTTTTCATCTGTGACAAACTGATCAGATGACCAAATAGAATAAAAAGCAGTGTTTTATATTTAATTATCCATTAGGAACAGAACAGCTATTTATTGAAATTACCTCTCAAAAATATCTGTTCTGATAGCTCTGTCTCTCTGAACTCTAACTTGAAAAGCTGTCCTATTTTCATAACTTTAACAATATACAGGGACAATATATAGGGAGTTTATAACCCTAATATATAGGGACTTTAACAATATATAGGGATTATATTATATTCATTTAGAAACTTTTCCTTCATGTTACAGAGTATATAAAATGCCAGGGAAATGAATTTAAGGACCACAGGGAACTGGTTTATCCTTAATATAAGCTTGAGTTGGATAATGTCATTTATTCTTTCTCTTTATTCCGTTGAAGACTAAAAAATTCAAGAGGATACTGCTGATTGAGGAAAATTGCTTTTGCTCTATAATTAACTAAATTAGATTCTTCTTCACAATTTGTGTGGCCTTAAATATTTAAAATAAAATAGTCATATAACGGAATGACATCAAGATCTTGCAAGCTCACACATGGGAAAATAGATATTTTAGTTTATTTTTAATATAACTTTTTTTACAGCATAAAAACATGGTGGCATAAAGCTGTACATAATTTTCTTGGAATAAAAATGCTACCTCTTGGCTTCTATAAAAGCTTTGAGTCAATTTCACATCCATTTACAAGTAAACTCAATGCATGTCTTTTTTGCATGATTATAATAGTTGTTGCAATAAATACCAGATTTATAATTCTCCTATCAGTGTTGGAACAAAGCTTTATTTAATTTATCATCCAG